CGTAGAACGTAAAGTGATGGATGATCGTCGGCTCTTCATCACTCAAAGGGTAACCTATCCACATCGTGTCCTAAAAGATTCTCATATTAATGAGTTGAAAGGAACATAAGCCCAGCTCTCTTCGGTATCTACGTAGTGTTTGTTACTAGCTTTTTCTGACCACTGACCTTTTGCCCATCAGCTGCCGTAAGCGCTTCTATCAGCTTTCCGCATCTAACAGCTGTGTGTGGCTCCAGGAAGACCACCCAGCGCACGTCACCGCCGCGGTGCTTATCTGTTAGCGGCCGCAGCAGGGGTATGATTGTCCACGCGCCCCCCACCGGGAAATCTTCATGAGTTACGTGAGCTACTGGGCGCCGCTGTATAGTAAATACGCTATAAACATCATAGCTAATGGGAAATTACCTTCTAGTTATAGTGAAATAAGTGTATAATTATACTAGAAACAGGCGTGGTTGAACAGAGAAATATATCTCCCACTTGGAAGCATGCGTGGTAAAACTGCATACTGTTTAGGTAAGCTGTTATTAACTGTTAGGTAATTGTACATATCAAATATAAGAAAAATACTTCTATTACATATTGCATATGTATATGAATTATTGTGTGAGTAATAGACGGACACTGGATAATCGCTACTTCCTATATAAAACAAAAAATAGTTAATATAATTTTATCAACGCTCGTTACGGTTCGCGTTTGTGACCATAACAAAATTAGCAATCAGCTACGAACCGACGAATTCTGCGACTATCTACATGTGATGACACAAAGAGATCTTCAATTATGCAAACTACACACCATACAAATATCGTTTTAATAGTAAAACAATCAAGGCGTATGCTTTTCAGTGCATTTTTAAAGTAAATTTGCAATTAAAAATGCTGGCCTCGATGTGAAAATTTTAATATTTTCTTTTAAGATATGCATTATTGTACAGTGACGGAAATCGGTGATGTTCCCCTTACAAAAGATCCTTGTTCCTTATAACGAAAAAACCTCCTTACAAAACAACCAAGTAACAATGAGTTGCGCAAACGAAAGCAATTAGCCCTGTACTATTGACAGTTTTTTTATATAGTTACATTTAAAAGCTGCATACTATTGGTCATTTTTCCATGACCTCGTATCATTATAGCTTTTAAAGTAGAAGACCGCCACTTTCCCTGATTGTACATAAATATGAAGTTAGATATTAATGGAAACTTACCCCCTCCAGTTCGAACACTTGGTGTTCGATATCCTGTTTGAGACGAGTGGCCACACTTGCGTGGTAGGGCTCCGATTGACTGACGATAGTGAACACTACATTTCTTGAATCTGTAACAACAAAAGTTATTCTGCCTTTTGTTAGCTATATGAAAGCTATAGAAAAAACCGACATTCTTCTGTTTTATTAATATTCCCAGATACAAACAACTAGATAGTACTTCAAAAGTAGAGAAATATTCTCACAAACATCCATAATTCCTTTCCCTCACTTAAACACGTCTTTTATTCCAGTAAGTTGGAGCTTCGAAACAAAAGCTCTTTATAAGAAAGTTGAAGGCTCAATCAGATTGCTATAAAATAAAGTGCCCAAGTTCTCCTTACTTAAGTTGGTATAATGTAAGTTAGCAAGTTCTGACACGGCGCCGCCTCGAATTATGTAGCCGCAAACTGCTTCATTTAACTACAAGGAAAATGTCACTTTTACACCTGATTTATATTTCGCAATTTACTCGTGACTTTCCTTGTACAGTAATAATCACTTAAATTTAAGGGTATAGTAAAAACGGCATTATATTTGGGACTATTCTATTGGTCTAGGTTATTTAATTCGAATGATCTATACTATCCTTTTATCAGGAAGAAAACAATCCATTCATTAATATAAATTAGGTCTCGTAACGCAAAACTTATAAACAAACAATATAGGCTAAAAAAAATATTTTTAAATAAATTGGTATAATACAATATATATTATACTCACCAAAACATGTGATTACATCGACGAACATGAATAACAACACTAAAAACATAGCTGAAACAAAAGTTAAAACAAATGAGAAATGATAAACAATGAAACAGTTAAAAAACTATATTTTAAAAAGTTATATGTAATTCTTTTTCTGTCGCTTAATAATTCGCGCTGTTTCGTACTTTTTGGCGGGAAAACTGTCGACTGAACTATGAACAGTGCGCGTCTGTCACTCCCAACGACAAGAGCCGTACTGACATTCTTCCCTGTTATCCTGCATTCGTGTATATTTGGCTGTCGAGGCCTCTATATCCTTTGATAAAATAATGTATTAACATGACGTCACGTAAATGTCGGTCTTTCAATAATCCTAAATCAAGCAATTTCATGCATAAGTCATTATAAACAGCATTATAAAGGAACTATAGTAGTTTAAAAAAAGAACGTTTTAGTTTTCATATGAAAACAAAGTTAGGTAATTAATAATTTATAGACAAAACTGCTCTCTAGTATTAGTTTTAATTAATTTTTTCTCAGGCTTGTACGATGAAAAATTTACGCCGCCTTTTAAAAACAAAACACGTTAGATGAATTTTTCTAAATCAGCATTGATTAAAAATGCATCGAATTTCTGATAAATTAATCGTAATTATGGCGGTTACTGTGCAAACAACATCGAATATACCACAATATTCATAAACAAAGCAATTTCATAACATTTCATTTCGTGTTTCTTTTATTAAAAGTATAAAAACACATTCCGTTACAGCTCTAGCTAATGATACGGATATAGAGGATTAGGGCGGGCTTATTACGCGGATCGAGTTAATTCAATCCTCATTCAAATTGCTTTCTAACAGTACCTTGATGGAGTTTTTATCCAGATTTGCTGTATGAGAAAAAAAAAAACTTGATTATATTGGTCAATAAAGTCAATGAGATCTACTCAAGACTTTTGTACTACATTACATTATTTTTCCCACTTGTGCTATTGTTTATTTACCCTAATTAAATTCATTTTTTTTATTGATTGGTTGTAATGTATACATGTTTGTATGTATGTCTTCTTGTATAATGACTTCCAGTGTGATTTTAAATACTGAACTGTCATTCTAAACATTTCTTTTCTATTAGGCTCTAGAAAAATATACCTGACATAACTTTTTAAATAATTTGATTATGCAAGATGAAATATTAAGAAAATTTCTAGTGTGTTGTAAATAAGACCTGCTTTGTGTATCACAGAGGATGCATTGAAGAACTGGCTGATTAGAATAGTTTAAATGTGACATGTATTTTATATTGAATTCAGTCATAGATAATACATATATATACTGAATTCAGTTGTTCGAAATAGGGAGAACAATCTTATGTTCAGTAAAAATAATATCTTATTTTTTATATAAACGTGTTATAATATATCAATTTAAATGTAAATAAATAACAAACATTGTTTATTCTACATCATTTGTGTGCTGGCTGAAGCATATTCCTATCAGTTGAAAATAAAAATGTTAAACTTACAAACTGTATGTTTTACTGTGAGTTTTGCCGTCGCTTATAACTTTTCTGCTACTTAATAACCTATCTCATTTGAAAAATCTTCCTTTAAACTCATAATAGTAAGTAGATCTAAGCATTTACTTTTATTAACATAGTGTATGCTTACAACAGTTTGGAATATGTAAAATTTAAATATTCAATATTGCTTTAAAACAATATATCTCTTGACATTAATTAAACAAACCATCATCCATACGAAAATGTTTTCAATTTGTTCCAAGAGATTATTAGTTAGTGTCTACGGAAAGGATAAAGTGATTTCCCAGCAAAACAGGACTTCATCACAGCCTGGTAACTTTACCCAAATCTGTGGTTGATCGAAAAAGAATTTTTAAAATACTAAAAAATTATTGTCATAGTGAAAATTGTTGTGTATATTTAAAAATTATTTGAATGTAGCAAACATTTTAAATCAACTGTTACTGTCTTGTTAGAAATTTTAAAACATCAATAAAGGTTTCCTATAATGTTTCCCAGTTATAAAATAAGTTACCAATATATGTAATATCGAAATTCTACGTAAGGCACGTATTAGTTGTATATTTTTGAAACGATATTGAAAATTTTGTACCAAAAAATGAAGTGGGAAAGAATGAATTCTTCTTGGATCCTTACCTACAAATATCCTTAATATTAACCGGTGCAAGTAACACTAATAATTATTATGAAGCTTTTTTAAAAATAAAAACAAAACAAAACAAAAGTAACTAATTAAAAAAAAGTTTAATCTGACAGTTTGACAGTTTAAGTAAACTTTTTTTCGGACGTTATACAAACGGCAAAGAAATATTGCCCATTTTACGTAAATGAAAACTGTTTTAGTTCACAATGTTTTTAAGTGTTTTTCTTAACGCAGCAACTTGCATAATAAAAAAGGTGCATTATGAATTTTTCCGTTATTAGGGCTCTAAAAGTTAAATTATTTTAGTAAGAATTTGTACACAATTACATTTACAATGTTAACTCTTATATACAAACAATATACGAATGATTCAATAATTACCGTGAACCGTTCATATTCTATTGCATAATTATAATTTTAGTATTTCGTGCTACGTTAAAACAACTAAAAATTAAATCGGAATTTTAAAATGGAAATTGACGTTTCACGTAAAATGTCAGAATGTGACACTGACAAACGAAAGATGGACTTTCCCTTGTTGTGGCAAAAATAAACATAATAAAATGCACCTTCCTGCATTGTGTTAAAGTTGAGTTTTTATTACTTGGGATTTAATTATTTACACACTGTACAAGTTTATTTACCTTTGGTTTTCAAATTATTTTCAATTCCTTTGGCGCCGTCCTAGATATAGAGACGGATTTTATAACATTTGTATTCTGTATTTAAATATCGCGGATTAAAATCGTATTCTAGTAATATCAATAACATATTTTATTTATAGTTAAGAAAATCATGAATGATATAGCTTATCTTTTAGATTAAATATCACAAAATCGGACATTGTTTTCGCACATATGTTCAGACTTTGACCCAGTGAGAAGCTTAGTGCATAAAGTAGAACGAAAACTGAAAATGGTGACGTTAAATAATAAAGGCGTAACAGATGATCAGCTCAAGGAGTTGTTCCCAGATTTGCCAGCAGGTCCATTGGATGTGTATAGGAAGAAAGCGACATTCGACTGGCGTCGTATGAAACTTGTTTACGATAACTTATCGACAATGAAGATGAAAGTAAGTTGTTATTTATACATATTTATTACATTATAAATTGAAACTTTTTCATATACTATTTAAAAGTGTTTAATTTGTATAATACTTTAGAGTTTTATAAAGGCTGATTCTGATTTATAAATATGTGTTTACCAACAGAATGACATATGGAATTACATGCTTGAGAACCCTCTCTTCCGGCACCAGGAAGCGACGCCTTCTTTGGATGAGCAGCGACACATCGCCACAAAGAGGATGTATGCAATATTCAGTCAAAACTTTACACCCCTTATAAAGGTACATTATTATTTATGCATCTATTATTTTCTGGTGAATTTAAGAGAAGGATGTTTGGAAATCCAGTCTGCTACTTTCATATTCAACACAAAACATGTATGAATGTCTTATCAAAGTTCATATACATTATTATATCTGAAAGATCAAAGGTTGAAGTCATTGGCACAATTAACATGAACTTTAAAGGCTCCTATGTAGACTGCCACAAGCAACAATTTTGTGATTTACACCTTGTTTTATATTTTTTTAATTACTTGACAAATACTAATTTCTATGTTTTGAAAGTAATATTAGAAAGAAAAAGAATTGCAGGTTTTGTTTGTGTATTATATATTCATGATTGATGCGTCGTTATTGATCGTTTACATGTTTTCTTGTAAAATGCATACATTAAAAATGATTTTTTTTTCAGATCGGTGCAGAGCCAAGGCTGTTCCAATCGGAAACTGAAGCGTTATTCATGTTTGACAGTTCCCTAGCTGTAAAGATATCATTGACCTTCCGAATGTTCTCAAATGTCATCCAAGGCAGTGGCCGTAGTCACCACTACAAGTACATAGAGCAAGTAGAAAGTGGGAAAATTGGGGGCTGCTTTGCTTTGACCGAAGTGGCTCATGGATCTAACGCTAAAGGCATGAGGACAACCGCAACTTATTGTCCTGAAAAGAAACAATTTATTATGCACACACCGGACTTTGAAGCTGCTAAGTTTTGGGTAGGCTCGTTAGGTGAGACTGAAAATATGGCAACATTGAGTCCAATGACCTTGTACCATTGAGCTCAAGGTTCTTGTGTTTAACGATTTGTGACTTCTTTATATTCATATTGCGCCGGATAAACATAAGTACAATTCAAATTAATTTGATTACCATCTTTGTTTTTAAGTTAAACATTTTTTTTAATTTACATTACGATTTACGAAAGTTCAATCAACTGACCTGAATGAGTTATGTTAATTTTCCTCTATTATAATTCAGTAAGTTAAGGGCAAAAATGTCAATGTAATCAATTACATTATTTTGACTTACACTTAACTTTGTATACTGTAACTTTGATTTAAGCTTTGAAAGCAAGAATCAACATGGATTATTCCCAACCGTCACACCACTCTGTCCACACGTGGCGACAGATGAGAATATAAAGTTTCATCCGCCCTTTCAGTCCCACTATCACCAATGAGGTGACAGATAAGTTTCGACCGTCCCCTCGTCGCAAAAGGTGCGACGGATAAATCTTTTCTCATCTGTCGCCATGTGGGGACAGAGCGGGGTGACGGTTGGGAATAATCCATCAACATGGTATCTATATTTTACAAGCTTATTTTACTTAATTTTTTTATCGTACTGACTTTAAATATTCAGTTCAGATAATCGTATTATTGTTTTTCTCTGGCAGGCAAATGCGCGACACATGCAATAGTGTATGCGATGTTAATCTCGAAAGGCAAGAACCACGGCCTGCATACATTCGTGGTGCCTATCAGAGACCCTAAAACCCTGAAGCCATACCCTGGAGTAACCGTAGGAGACATTGGAGAGAAGATTGGTCTTAACGGCATTGACAACGGGTAAGACTTAACATAATTGTTTTTGTAGATTTTAATCGAATTTGAACTTTATACCATAGATTAAGAAGTTTAGAGAGTAGTCACTAGACGCGACTGGTTGTTTGATTTTCCACAAATCTTGGTTATTGAAATATTATGCCTAGCCTTGAGAAGTATGTTCTTAACAGTTATGTATGCGCGTCCATATATGTATCATTACCAAACATAATTATGTACTGCAACGTGGTGGTAAAGTTAAAAAATAAACATTGACGCTCGTAAAATTAACGTTAATTGTAATTAAAACATGTGTTTTTATATTTTTACAAATTGCTACATTTTTTTAACTGATGAGGAAATATGATGGAATTTTTAACGATGTTTTTTGCTTCACCTATAGTAATATTAAGAAAGATTGGGTTTTTGTATGTATTGAAATAACTCAAAATCTACTGGGCCGATTTCGAAAATTCTTTCACCATTGAAAAGCTACGTTATCCCTGTGTAACCTAGGCTATGTTTTTTTATAGTACGTGGACGAAGTCGCGAGCAACAGCTAGTATCTATCTTAAGCTGTTTATTTCAGTTTTGTGATGTTCAACAACTACCGTCTCCCTAAGGAGGCGGCGTTGGACAAGATGGGCGGGGTGGACGACAATGGAGACTACCAGACCCCTTTTAGAGACCCCAAAAAGAGATTCGGAGCCTCATTGGGTATTCTGTCTGGTATGTTTTGATAGATTTTTTCATTCCGAGCAATTGCAATTAAAATTCGCTATCTCACATTCAGCACGTTAAATACGTGTAATTTTTTTTTATAGAGATTCAAAAATATAGGGTAGGTAAAATATTTTTTCACTTAATCGTCTCTAAAGCTATCTATTAATAGGTCCTTAAAACACGTCAATATAATTAATTGCCAATAGGTGTCAGCACTATTTAATTTATTTTATAACAAAAGAAGGTTTTTTATAATTTCGTAAAATATTTTAGTACATGTCAACACTAGGGGGCGCTAAACTTGACACATGATATACTAGCTGTCAGAGAAAGTGGCCTTGAAAAAAATCGATATTTTAACTGGTACTGTTTTCCTGGTCGTCTAGGTGGCAGGGTGCATATAACTTCGATATCCGCCAACTACCTGCAGAAGGCCATCGTGATCGCCATCAGGTACTCCGCGGTCAGGAGACAGTTTGGACCTGAAAACTCTACTGAAGAATTGCCAGTACTAGAGTATCAGCAACAAGTAAGTACAGATTTGATAAATATTCATCTTTGTATTCGGTTTTTACTGTATTTTGTAGATTTTTCTTTCTTCAAAAATTTTAATGTTTTATTTGAAGCTATTTCTATATTCCGTCTTTTCATAGGTGTTCCTAATATGATAGGGGGGAGGGGAGGGCGCTACTGTTATCCCTACCATTATAAACCTGAAAAGAGAAAAAAAATATCTAAATTAACTTTAATTAAACCATACTAATGGTAGCTTCCCTCCAGATCAAGTCATATAACTCGTTATATAACTAACATTTTATATCTCTCTCTCCGGATCGTTTCTACATTTTTGACGGTTTGAGGGCGATCACTCTTCTTGACCATTTCTGGAAGGTTGTTTCTCCACTCTGCGATTCTCTGCGACGTGTATGGCGTTATGAATAGTTGTGTCGAGTGTGGTGAAGTATTTCCATGTACTAAACCATTGTTGTCAACTTTAAGTAACTATATATAAATTTGTAGCAAGTCCGCCTGCTGCCGTACTTAGCGACGACGTTCGCGCTGCGCGTGTTCTGCACGTGGTTCGGCGCGGTGCACGTCGCTATGGCCGTAGACAATATCACAGGTATCTTTACAATATCACCTCGCTACACGCCCCCACTGAGGAGCTCGGGGATCTACCCTTAGATGTGACTAATCCATACCCAAACATGCTACCCACTGCGGGTTGATTTTACACATATCTGATCCCTTTGCCTTTGAAATTATATATCATGGTACATGGTACATACTAGCTTTCGCCCTTGACTCCGTTTGCATGGAATTTACAAAAAATAAACATTGGTAAGTAGACTATGTGTTCTTCCAGACTTCTCTACATCCATGACAAATTTAAACGACATCCGTTCAGCAGTCATAGATTTATAGACTCACTGTGCCATTTTACAGTCCAGTAATGAAACGCTACTGACTGTACTGGTCAAGGTACAAGATGCGTAAGCCAGTAATATTCTCGAGAATAAAAAAGGTGTCAATGTCAATTCATACCCTCGTATCTAGGGCTGATCCTCATCACAATTGAATATGTTATGTTAATTTAAACAAGTGCCAATAGCGTAATGATTTGGAGTATGGACTACCTTTGCAATCGAAGGTTCGAATCTCGCCTTTTAGCTAATTTACCTGGCACAAGTCTAGAGCTTAGTTGGAACTGTTAAAGGAAATATAGGTAAACTAGCTGTTCCCGTGCGATTTCATTTGCATAAAATTATAAAAAAAAATCATTTTATTGTTCACATTTGTGAAATTATCAATTACAAATATCAAAATGACATGACATGATGACAACCTTGTCTTTGATGTTGGCAGCAACTTATGGTTCCTTTCTGACATTAGGGTTTTTATCCAAAATATTTACCCCCTAAGTTTAATGGCGTGAAAATATATAGCCTAAAGCGTGACGTAAGTGTAAGGCTTTTAATAAAGAAAAGAATTATTCAAAAACATGCTGTGATTGCTGACATCTTAGGCAACAAAGAAGTGTGTGTTTACGCTTTATTATAATAGTATAGATTAACAAAGTTGTATAGTATAGAAGTGTGGGAGGAGACGCACATAAAGAGGATATTTCCCCTTCCTACGCATCTCCTCCACCGTCAAATCCACTTCCTCCTCCCAACCTCTTATAAGAAAAGGATGGTAAAGAGAAAGGGACTTAAATTAGGCCTACGGCAGCACACTCGTCAGACGGAACACGGAATTGCTTCCATTTGACGGCTATCTTCTGTGAGGTCGTGGTATTACTGGGGACGAGCCGGCCCTGCAGTGCTAAGATGTTAAAGCGGGCATTACCACTGTTAAATATATATCATCATCATACATGTACACATAACAGACTCGAACTATCATAATTACAAACAACAGTCAACACTTTTAAAAATATATTAAATAAACTTAAAATATAAGAGCTTTACAACACACACGCTTCAGCTAACTAGCTGCTATGCTACCCAAAAATAATAACAGTAATAATTACATCATATGATTTGTAAATACCGACAACTAGCTGTAGGTAGTCGTCTCTATATAACAAAATAAATAATGAAAAACCTAGCCTATGTTACTCACTGATAACGTAGCTTTCTATTAGTGAAAGAATTTTTAAAATCGACCAAATAGTTTTGGAGTTATTTCAATATAAAAACACAACAAAATTCTTAATAACATTAGTAAAAATTTTTTCATGAAAATTATTACCCATGACAGATTATTCTTCACATTATTCATTTACTAAGTAAGATTTACGAAAATAAAAATAAAATACTATTTGCGAATTCAGCGCGGAATTAAAAAAAATCTTAGTAGCCAATGTATTCTTCCAGACTATTCTATAATCAGTGCCAAGTTTCATAAGGATTTGTTAAGCCGTTTGGGAGATATCAGCAAATATCCATCTACCCAAACTGTCGAATTTACAATATTATTAAAATAAATAATAAAATACTCAAGAAGTATACTTGATAATGTATATAGAAGAAATGGGTTACGTCCGTGATCACTGCCTACCCCTCTGGATTACGGCTGTATTATACTCCATTTTAAAACCGCTCAATCGTCAATAACAACTCCAACAGCGTCCGCTCTGGGCGAGCTGCGGAACGACAACGACGCGAACTGCACCTACGAGGGCGAGAACAGCCTGCTGCTGCAGCAGGCCAGCAACTGGCTGCTGCAGCTGTGGCCGCGCAGGGCGCAGCTCGCGCCCGCCGACCACCCCCTCGCCTCCCTGGCCTTCCTGCCCGCCGCAGACCGCACCATCGCCACCACCTGCCCCTGGACTAAGCTCGAGGATATCATAGAACCAGCCAGTGAGCATTTTATTTCACTTTACTTTCGCCCGCGACTCCGCCCGCATGGGGTTAAAGAACAAAAAAGTAGCCTATGTGTTTTTCGAAGCTATGCTCTACATCTATGTTAAATTTTATCCAGATCAGTTCAGCAGTTTAGGCTACAAACTGTAACAAACATCCATCCATCCAAACTTTCTCATTTATATTAGGACGATTTGATTCTTAAATATTTGCAATACAATAATAAATTATACAGTTTTTCTGCAAAATTATATTTTTTTTTGTAATGCCAATAATTAAGGTAAAAATATACGCATATAGTATGTTCAAAGTAATTATAAGATTTACCTGCTTGTAACAAAAACGTTACGTGACCTTGGAATTTTTATTTATTAAAATGATTTTTTTTTGTACCATTCGCATTAAAAATTAATATTTTTTTATGTTTTTTTTTATTATAGATTTAATAGAGATGTTTAAATGGCTGACGGTGTACACATTGAAGACGACGTATGAGAAAGTGTCGAGCCTGAAGGGGGCCGGCAGAGACAACTTCCAGGCCAAGAACGAGTCGCAGTCATACCACGCTACCTCACTCTCTGTTGTCTATGGAGAGGTAACTTGACATTCTAAAAATATAGCCTATGTTACTAAGTGATAACGTAGGTATTTATTGGTGTAAGAATTTTTGAAATTGGCAGTAGTTTTTGAGTTATTCCAGTATTAAAAAATCTAAAACCTTTCTCTTAATAATATTAGTATAAACATAATAAGAGCGTCGGTGGCTCAGTGGTTTAAGCACATGACTTGTAATCTACAGGTCTTGGGTTCGAATCCCGCTGTACCAATGTGATTTTCGATTTATCGAATTTTCATATGTACATAATTTACGTGACGTTCTTACGGTGAAGGAAAACATGGTGATGCCTGCACATATCGGTGAAGAAATTCAAAGATATGTGTGAAGTCAACCAACCGGCAGTGCAGGTTGACTATGACCTAGTCACCCCTTATTAGGGTAGGCTCCGAGCCCCTCGGTGGGGACGTATAGTGAGCTGGTGATGACGATGATTATGATGATGAGACATAATAATAGCCGCCTTTTATATTTAAATTTTTCAATTTTTTACATTTCTAAGTATGTCTTTATATGATAGTTTATTTCTATCCTAGTCTAATAGAAGATATAATATGTTTTCAGAACTTCATATTAAATAATTTCTACAAGAGTGCGCTGGAGTTCCACGACGCGGAGTGCAGGAAGGTTCTGCTGCAAATGGTGGCCTTGTACGGAGCCTTCCTCTTAGAGAAACATCTCGCCACCTTGTACATTGTGAGTGGCACCTACTAACTTAATATTATAAATGCGAAAATTAAGATCAATGGATGTTTGTAAGGTTGTAGCCTAAACGGCTGTATCTGGATGAAATTTGGCATACATGTAGAGAATGTGGAAGAACATATAGGCTATTTACTTTTTTTAATCCCACGCAGATGGAGTAGCGGGCGAAAGCTCGTATTTATATTAAATTATTATAGCCCTTTTTTAAATTGTATTGTTGTGTTTAAAACGTGAAATTTGAAATTTTTACAAATTCATCACTAACATCAATAAAGTAGTTAATTGCTACTAATTCATTTATTTCAGAGTATCTTAGTATAATTCTTAATATTATTAGACAGAATATAAATTTATCTGTATTACCAAAGAGATCGGCTTTTGCAGTTCTGGTATTGCGGACCTCTGAACTTCGATGATCACCTTTTGCATAAAAAACCTAATTTCTCAATTGCATTTTTCAACGATTAATATAAGTGTTAACACTGCACTAGAGATCTAAGTCAGGAATGCGCGCGAATATTCCAACCCTTGTCATGACATTGACAGCTGTCAGCTAGGGACGTGACGTTTGTTTTGTGTCGACAATCTAGTGTTGCGTCAATTCTAGAGCACGCTACTAATTTTCTTAACAGTATACATATTAAAAATAAAGGTCGTTGTAACTAGGGCGGGTACCTGGCGGGGGCGCAGGGCGCGCTGGTGCGCGAGGGCGTGGTGCGGCTGTGCGCGCAGCTGGCCGCCGCCGCGCCCGCGCTCGCCGACACGCTGGCCCCGCCCGACTGGTGCCTCAACTCCGTGCTGGGACACGCGGACGGGGAGGTGAGGTGTACATTACACACTACACACTACAGATGTGTAATACTTACACTACATCTGTATACAATCTCGACCATGTTAATCTAGTAGGGGTAGGGTCATGACCTTACTTCAAAGTAATATTATAAATGCGAAAATGGCGTTAGATGGAAATTTGTTAGAATTATCTCTAGAACGGCTCAACGGATTTCAATGAAATTTTGCACAGATGTGGGTCTGAAGAACATGTAGGCTACTTACTAAGTTTTTTTTTAAATCCGTGCAGACGAAGTCCGGATCGAAAGCTAGTAATAAATAGAAAATATATTACAGTATATAATCTATGTAATGTTTGTCAATGAGTTTACAATTGCAGTCATTTAAAATGAATGAAATGCCTCATCATCTTCAACATCATCCTCTTTATCCTACTCCCGTAGGGTCGGCGCTACAGACATTTGTCCTGCACATATCTCTATCATACGTCATCTCATCTTTCAATCCATCCATCTCTTTCTAGGTCTATCTCTACCGGTGTACCTCCACACTCATAACTATCGTTCTCCTTGTAACATGCGATTCATCCCTCCTCATAACGTGCCCGTACCATGCTAAAAAGAATGAAACACCTATTTTTCGTTAATGCTATTTACCTAATTTTATGTAAGACATTTTCTATAATATAGCAGTTTGTATGTTCAGGTATACAAGCACCTGCAGAACAACGTGCTGACGTACCCGGGGGCGGTGGCGCGCCCCGCCTGGTGGCGCGACGTCGTGCACTGGCAGACATACGCGCCCTCCAAACTGTAACACGCAACGATATACACAAAACACTATTTTACATACTTAAGATGTATTACATTTAACACACTGCATATAAAATTATTTTACATATTACATACTCAAGATGTATTACATTTTACACACTGCAGATATAATAATTTTACATATTACATACTCAAGATGTATTACATTTTACACACTGCAGATAAAATTATTTTACATATTACATACTCAAGATGTATTACACTTTACACACTGCAGATAAAACGATTTTACATATTACATGCTCTAGATGTATTACATTTACACACTGCAGATAAAACGATTTTACATATTACATGCTCTAGATGTATTACATTTACACACTGCAGATGAAATGATTTTACATATTACATACTCAAGATGTATACATATAGATGTATTACATTTTACACTCTGCAGATAAATTCATTTTATATATTACATACTCAAGACGTATTACATTTACATATAGACATATTACACATTCCAGATAATGTCCTTATATTTTACACACTAAAGATACGGTACTTATGCAGTTTACACAGTGAAGATGAAATGTTTTATTTATATCTTAAGGAATAAATTATTTTACATACAACAGACATAAGTAATTAAATTGTAAAACATACGCAATACTTTAAGAGAAATATGTAGATATAAAATTATTTTTAAATATCAACACTAAGGAGCTTAAATAATGTGATGGGAAATATATTTTTGTATATAGAAGTTTTATATGAATCTATGTTATTTTTTTATTAAAATATGTTAAACGTTCATTGTTTTTTTTTAATTTGCAGTACCATGAAAAAAGACTATTTGACTCGACTCGAGGTTAAGTACGCTTTTTTTTTAATTAATTCAAACTTATGTACCATTACCGTACCATACAAAAGGCTCTTGTTGAATTATTTAAGAAATCGAAACCAATTCGTGTTTCTATAATGGGGTTTGCATATGTAATGGTTTCCGTCAATCACTTTGTCCGTTTGTTCGTAATACTGAAGTGTAAGGACACGATACACAAACGAAGTTTTTAATCTGTGCAAGTAACATGCTAAAGATAATCATACTATGTGTTCTTTTAACAAAGTAAGTACCAATTTAAATACCAAATAGTTATATTTCTAATCTTTGATTGAGAATTTCGAAATTCGTAGCGCTCATGCGGAGTTAAACAATATCGTAAAAGAGGCAAGGCAAAAAGAGCTACAGGACCTCATAGGTGATTTGGTTAACGTGGTCGCAGCGCGCGGAGCCCACGCCTGCGTCACCGTACTCTGCGACCCCGTCTATTTGAACATCTTCGAAGGCCCTTTATTTGATAAACTACATACCGCAACTTTCGTCTTTGTAAGTATTTACACAATACATAACGAGCTACCTTACTAACATAAATGCGAAAATTTATGCAATGGATATATATTAGAGTTTTTAGCATCAACGGCTGAACGGATCTTGAAGAAATTTGACATAAATGTACAGGATAGTCTGGAAGAACACATAGGTTACTTACTTTTTTATGACTTTGGAGGGACAGATTCGAGGGAGAAAGTTAGTTTCTAAGTAATGTTTGAATTCACGGTCTTAGTGATCAATTACAATAACACTTTGCATAGCCCAGAGCAAGAGCAGATCAGTCTTAAATCGCAATCAAAACTAAGCTTCATCTGATTACAAAATGGTTTAATTTTCACTTACACGACTTTTATATCTTTCATAAGATGTGAAAAATAAAGGACTTCCTTTTTCAATATTGTGAAGCTTGATTTTAATAGCGGTACAAAATCTGCACTGCTCTACGCTTCGGTCTGTATGATCAGACCCTACGGAGTTCCTTTAGAAACTGTTAAAAGGCTGAGAAGTGATTATAGCAATGTTATTGGTAATAATTAGATCGTGGTAGCTGAAAACGAGGACCTATTGTTTCCAAATTACCACACTCTGGAGGGTTTGCGGCACGCGAAGAAGGAGAGATGCGGGACTTACTTCATCATC